CACTGTAGATACAATTTGTAGCTTAAAATAACAAACGACAAATGATCTCGAATGATTAGTATCTACATTACACGGGATAATGAGTTGAACACCTAGAACGTGCGTATATTGCTGAAGTAATTTGTTTTTATTTTTGTTCTAGTCGCCTATGAATTATATGATCAAACAAATAATAAACCAACGATTTTATCACCAGCGTCTTCCATTTCTGTGATAACAAGGTATAAAAATTCGCAAGATGACATGGTATGAATGACCAAACTCTGTTAGCAGATATTCATCTTCAACAAACTGGATATCATTAGTTAGAAAAACCTATTGTGGTTTTTTCTTTCATCTATTAAAGATCCTTTATCTTTGACTGCACCTCATATAAGAGCAATACATACAACGAAAGAAGCAGGAACAATTTCTTATCCGCAGGAGGTAATTGGTTAGTTTTGAGAAATCGTTTAGTTTTCCAAACGCTGGTACTCAGGTCAAATAATCCTACCATAGGATCCTACAAGATTCTTACAAGATCCTAGTTTAGGATGCTATAGGATTCTGAAAGATCCTACGAAAATCCTGTAGGACTTTGTAGGAAAACCTCAAAGCCAAAAAATCCTACAAAATCCTACTGTGAGATTCTTATAGGATCCTGTAGTTAGATCTTGTAGAATCGTGCAAGATCCTACAGGATCCTATTGTAGGATTGCAGTACGATTTTATCTGATTTTCTGCCAGTTTATCCTACTAGGTTTATTGTTTTTATTTGTTTAATTATTCTCTGATCTCAGCTAGCCAGAATCAGGTGATTCTAAGCTGGGATAAGCCCAAGACTTGTGAATACTAAACACACATCGTCGAACAGTAGCAAGTTTCGATGGCTCACAGTGTTTGGTGCGAAAATTTGAGACTAAAAGTATGTTTCATTTTCTACAGTACAGTAGAATTGTATTTATATTAAAGTTATTGCAAAACACGTCGGTAATTGTGTTCTCGTATAGAAAAAGAAAAGAAAATGTAACCAGAACGAAAAATAGGAATTCAACAAGATCTTACTGTAGGATTTTGTAAGAAAGGCAAAAGATTCCTATTATAGAAATCCTATAGGATTTTTGCTACTGTCCTATATCAAGAATCGTACGGAATTCCTGCCTTAGGATTTCATAGGATCCTCCAATAGGAATCCTGTAAAATCCTATTGTCAGTAAGATCCTGTGGGATCTTGTAGGATCCTAGTAGGATTACTTGACCTGGGTAGATTATATGAACTAGTTATATTACTACAATATCATACGAAACATTTGTATTTGTTAAGCAAATCTGTTGTTCCCCAAATGAATAACCGGTCTCTCAATGACTACGATTTATTTCAGTCTTTAATTCCAGTCAATAATGGTTTATCGTCTCATAGTAAACCGACATCATCATTACAATCTACGTTTTTATCATCTAGTCGTGGTACTATGCCTCCACCTGTCGCACGTAAGCCATCGCGGCTTTGTCATTTATCATCGTTTCAAGCTTCAGATTCTTCATATCATCCTCCATCCAATATTGATCGTGTTCATTTGAGNATAACAACAAATGAAAGGAAAAAATCAGTATCAACAGATAAAAGGTGAACAAATAAATTGGATATCTGTTTCTTTCATTGTACTTTTAATAGTTTCTCTGGACGTTCATTGTTTATCTCCATATATATTCGTTTTTTGCTAGTTAGCTATTTAATTTTATTTGTTTCTGTTCAGATTTGCAAAAGGTGTTGTTATCGACGCATTTCGGCTTGCTAGGGTACCTGGTAGAGAACAAATGGTGAGAACAATGGTAGCAACTTGCATAAAGTTTACTGTTCTATCATTTTTTAAGGTGATATTATCTGAAGATATATATCGTAAACGTGATTATTATGCATTAAAAATATTGAAAAAAGGTGATATATTAGCACGTAATGAAGTTGAAAGTTTAATATCAGAAAAACGTATATTCGAAGTCATTAATTGTTCTCATTATCCATTTTTAATTAATTTGTATTCATGTTTTCAAACATGTGATATTTGTTATGGAATATGCTTATGGTGGTGATTTAATGATGCATATTGGTCGATATATTTAATGAGCAACGATCCTGTTTCTATGCGGCTTGTGTTCTATTAGGCTTAGAATTTTACATCAAAAGAAGATTGTGTATAGAGATTTAAAATTGGATAATTTATTATTGGATAAAGGTTATCTTAAAATTTCTGAGTAAGTGATCTGTGAAGTATACCATTTTTATTCGCAGAACAAGAAGAAATTCAACTTTTTATTTTTTATTTAGTTTTGGCTTATGTAACGAAGGTATGGGCTACGGCGAAACAACAAGTACATTTTGTGGCACACCTGAAGTAATAGCAATAAACATTATATTGTGTAATAAGTATGTTTTTTCTCATCTTGGAGTTTTTAGCTCCAGATGTGTTAACCGAAACGTCGAACACTCCCAGCTGTTGATTGGTAGGGTTTGGGTAGGATCTTCTCTCATCAAGAATTAATTTGTATAACATCATCCATTTATTAACAGTGTTCTCGTCTATGAAATGCTGGTCGGTAAATCTCTCTTTCCCGGCGATGATGAAGAAGAAATATTTGACAGTATTGTTAATGATGAAGTGAATTATCCAAAATTTTTATCGATTGAAGCAATTACAATTATGAAAAGGGTATGATGACAATAATTTAGCTGTTCAAGATAATTGGAGTATTTTTTATTTATAATCTAGTTATTAAGAAAAAATGTCTCTCATCGACTTGGAGTGGGTGAAAACAGTGCTGAAGACGTCCACTAACAGTCATTCTAAATTGCTAATTCTTTTAAAAAAAGCGGAAGATAACTGATGTTTTTTCTTGACTAATACAAACACTACGTTTGATTCTCAGTACAACTTAGACGGTTTGTCTCCAAAATAAATCGTCTTGTATTTTAACTGATAGATGTGTAGGTATCATACTGATAATAAATATGTATTGATTATTGTTCGTATTTTTTAGCAAATCAATTGGCAAGATATGTTATTAAAGAAGACAAAGCCCCCATTTGTTCTGATAGTGGTAGGATATTTTTATAACTTGGTTGTATAGATTTTATACATTACAAGATTCTCTTGTTATCAGAAATTAAATATCTTTTACTGCTATCATTTGGTAGCAAATATCATGAAGAATTCATACATTTTACCATGTTGACTCGTTTGGACAATAAACGATCGGCTTTTCCTTATGACATCATTTTTGTTTAGAAATAACCATACCCTAGCTTTTTGAAAACCAGATTTGATCTTGTCTTGTCTAAGTATTTTCCATGAAACTTTTCCGTT